TATAGTCAATTAAATACCACGATAATAACGTAAGTTCACAGCGCGGGATCAGTATAGATAATGATAGCGCCAAAACACCACCAACTAAGCGCTACCGAGGAGTGTAACCACGCCAGACCCATGCCACGCCTCTCGCCAGGACAGAAACGTTTCGGTATAGAAAATGCGCGCTACCAGAAAATTTTGGTCACAACCGCGGCGGTAGTATGTCCCGACGGTTAAGGTCAGAGTAGGTCGGTGCGGATTGACGAAGTTGAGCTGTCATGAATCGGGACTACCTGTATATACATACATACAAACATACATTGGTCCCTCGGTTAACGAAGCTCAGTTAACAATTACAGTGAGTTCTGCTATAACGCTGTTTTGATAATGCTAATTTGCTCAACACGATTTATGAATTCGAACAATATTTGTATAACGAACGCTTGTTTGCTATAACGTGATTTTTGCTTACTATTTCTCCAATTTTGTGGTATTAACTGTGAATATGGTAAAGAAGAATATCTCCAAAAAGCGTTCTGGTGATAGAATTCTCGTGATTATCAAAAGAAAGGATATAACACTTGAAGAGAAGCTCAATGTTATCAACCTCAAAATCACTCTTCTCCCCATCAAGTTATATTCATATTTTTTCAAGGTAAAGTGTTACATTTACTGTATGATTTCATTATTAGATATGAATGTAACATTTATTTAGACTGTGCTATCCTTTGTGTTAGGCTAACTACTAAATTTTTTTGATTTCGAGTAATCTGCACCTAACCCTATTTTCTCCATAAGCCCTGTTATTTATATTACGCGATTTTCTATAACACGATATTTTACAAGAACACAATTATCGCTTATAGCAGAACTACCTGTACCTTCCATAAGAATCTTCAATTCGTTAACTAACAAAATTCGGTTAAGAAATTCTTACGAAAACATGTCAACATGTTTTAGCTTGCTCACCTGTTTTAGCTTGCTCACCAGCTGGAAGATTAGTCCGCCAATACAGTAATCGGTTCTAGGGGTTATATTCGGTTCCATTGGAGTAAATATCAAGAAGATTGTGTTATTCAATATTGTTCCAAGTTTTATATTAAAATTATTAGTCATTTTAACACTTATTTAACATAATTGCAGTACAGGAACTAGTTTTTTGCTCCCATCAGCCACTTCACTTACCCACCAAGGCATCAGTCTGTGTGTCTGTTCAGTGGAGGAAACATCTTGCTTGTGGGTCTCTTGAACACAGAGTATTTTTACATTTTTACTGTACAATTATTGGTCATTCTGAAATTTATTTAACATACTGTATTGACAATTTATAGTGCAGTGCACTGTTGATTTAGAAAATAATCTTGAATTACACCTAGTGAACTTAAAATTTTATTGGTGAAATGACGGCATCAAGCATGGGGTATTCTTCCATCCCACTTCCTTCTTCTCCTCCACCCCACTTATAATTCCCATCATCATTATCAACCAGGAGCCTTCTACATACACACCTCAAAGTAAGTGTACTTTACTGCAGTTTTTACTTTGTATGTACTTTTCGTGAGCTGGAACCATTACTCAATATTCCATTGAAACAATGGATTCGGTTAACTTAACGACCTTCTGGAATGAAGAATATTTGTAGGTTGCTACTCAGTGTTGAATTTTCACCAATAAATGCAAATATGAGGTATTCTTCCCTTGATTGGTTTTTCGACATAGCCTACAGCAACGCCTGCCACCATGGAGATCGAGGAGGACAAACTATTCCTTCAACAGCAACGAAAACTAGGACGACCTGGTTGCATGGGATCAGTCGATTGCAACCTTGCAAAGAAGGAGGCAAGAAAGGATGATCGATTATTGCAAGCAACAAAACGGCGACTTGTTCAAAAAGAAAAGACCAAAATGTGGAAGGAAAGGATTGATCTGGTTTCATCATCTTCTAGCAGTGCGGAAATCTCGGAGGATGAAGAATCACCAGGACCAACAACTTTGCCGCCATCACCTTCAAAGCATCCACGGAAGCTAGTAGTCAACCAACATGTCTGTGCAGCCCTCGATTGGACCAAAGTCACTGACCGAAACTCCATGTATATCTTGGCAGCTATGGCTCGGAATATGGGCCAAGAAGTCTCTAATTTAACTATCAGTCGATCCTCAATTCGCCGCCATCGAATCCAGCACCGTGAGAACATCGCAGCCATCATCAAAGAGAAGTTCTCCCCTATGGCGCCACTTGTCATCCATTGGGATGGCAAAATGATGAATGACATCATTGGCTGGGATGGCGTAGACCGTCTCCCAATCCTGGTTTCAGGAGGCAATGCAACCCAACTCCTCGGCATCCCGAAACTACTGTCTGGCACCAGAAAGTCTATGGCAGATATTTTCAAAAAAGCTATTGAAGAATGTTCAGTGAAAAACAATGTTGTGGCGATGTGTTTTGACACAACAGCCACAAATACGGGTGGAATGAATGGAGCCTGTAATCTGTTGGAGCAGAAAATGGAGAAGGAACTCTTACATCTTGCCAGACGACATCACACACTTGAAATTGTTTTGGAAGCAGCCTTCCATGCAGTGGTGGGTATATCGACAGGTCCAGATATTCTAATGTTTAAACGTTAAAAGCAGAAATGGGGTTTAATTGACAAAAGCATCCCCTCTACGGTGATGGACACACATCCAGGTCCTTGGTTGCTAGAAATTGGGGACGAGATTATCAAGTTTGTGACAGAACAACTTATAATTCACCAGCCCAGGGACGACTACCGAGAGCTCCTGGAGCTATCGATCATCTTCCTTGGTGGGGTTCCTCCTCGTGGTATCGGTTTCAAGGCACCAGGAGGCCTCCATCGCGCTTGGTGGATAGCTAAAGCCATCTATTATATGAAACTCTGGATGTTCCGGGCTCAGTTCAAGCTGACTCCACGGGAGGAGCTAGGTCTAAAAGCGATTTGTGATTTCATCATCAAGATATATCTTAAGGCTTGGTATATCTCTCCTGTGCCCCAGCTCGCTCCTGTACAAAACCTCTGGCTGTTGAAGGAGCTCCAGCGATACCACAGTATCCATCCAAAGATTTCGGCAGTGACTCTCAAGAAATTTCAAGGTCATCTCTGGTACTTAAGTGAGCACCTTGTTCCTTTGGAACTATTCGATGACTTGGGATCAATCACTCTGGAAGACAAAAGGGCGATGGCACAGAGGATGCTCCGTACAACAGATGAGGTGGATCCAATGATGAGGGCTGTCGTGGACTTATCTGCCATTCAAGAGAAAAATATCAGTTCTTTCTTTAACGGACAATCCAAGGCATTCTTTCGAATTTTGGGTCGAGATGATATAGATAGATTTTCTATGCAGTGTATTATCTAAGCATTTCCGACTTACGACCATTTCGACTTACTACCTGGATTTGGGTCCCTAACCCCGTTGTAAGTCGGGAAGGAGCTGTAGTTGCTTGACTTATCTCCCTCTCGGTATTGTTCATCTTCAACGACACCTTTACGTGAACATGTGGTGTTTACATTTGATTCTACTCTTTATAAAATGGTCATTATTGTCTGTTGCTTTATATGTTTAGTATCATTTGTCTTTGATATATATAATAATTAGTGAAAAGAGAAGAAGTAAATGTGTTCTAGTAGAGCGGGAATTTTGTACAGCATGAATCTGTTTTACCCAGAAAAAACCTAGAATGTTTTGGTAGGGTTTCACTGAATAACGTCCTTCTCACATCTGACCCAGGTTGAGAATTGAACCTGGGTCACAATAGAGGCATACACAACATCGTTTCCAAACACTGGTACAATTACAGACATAATTCCCTTGACAGTTAGCAGTATCTGGCACGCAAATACCCTGTACAGTGATATTTCCGTTAGCTGGAGTGGACTTGAGGGTACACTCCACATTTTTTTTATACTGTACATTTGTTTCTGATTATTTGTGAGAGGATTTTCCCACTATTATTTATTTGTATGGGTTTTGTGTATGTGTGTCTACACACACACACACACACACACAATACAGGTAAAAGAAATAATTGTCCTAAGGGCAAAACACATAAAGGAAATGTTTATTTCTTTGTACACAAGTAAAAATGTATGCTCCTCCATTTTGAGAACCTAACCCCAACGAATTTGAAGAGCATGCTGTATAACTAAAAACCTTGTCTGCATACTGAAAACAATACCTGTACAATATTTACTACATGATGGACTTGGCTCCTTAGACTAATTAGCAGTGTCCAGCTTATTGAAAAATGTCATTTGTTAGTTTGGGTCATAGGATTAAACCATTTATTAAAATTATAGTAAACTAACCTAACAGTCATAGGTTATCTGTTACCGGTAGTTATTGTAGGTTATGATGGTTACAAGTGTTCCCCGAAGAATGCAGTGATGGGTAGGGAAACACCGGGTAACACTGAAGTCCGTTTATTATGGATGAGAGAAATACAAGTGGTGACTAGCGTGTGCCATGCACGGCTCACACAGTCAGACTGAGGCTGCCTTGCCATATGGCAGCCTCGGGGCAATGTTGCCACATAACCCGTGCAGTGTTGCCACGTAATTATATATATAAATGCTACTCGGCACAGTAGCTTATTTACAAGGTTGCTACTTGGCACAGTAGCATAGATACATAACCTACAGGTTAATTTGGTTTATGTAATCTTTCATCAATGGGGTAATGCTGTAGCTTTACATTCACAGGTGCCATTTGTCAACAAACCAGATGTTTCTAACTTCATGAAAACTTCCTGTGTCATCTGCTACTGTAATATGAAATAAGTTTTAGGAATTGGATAATAACTAATTTGGAAACACTATATTCTTAGACTTTGATTGGAAAAGTAAGTGTTATTGCTATCACTAAAACATTTGCTTATGCTTGTACAAGAGGAAACCAGAGGGCCAGGAGAAAGTACCCCCTGGTATGTGATGTTTGATAAGGTCACATACTGTACAGTTTGTAACAATAAATTCACCGATTCCCTTTTTCAACAGAATCCTGGAGTACGATTAATTTTGAGAGATCTCAAGACCAGACTACACTGCACACATGGTGAGTATAGTATGTTTAAGAACCTAAATTTTAAATACTATACTACTGTACAATATAATAAATATAGGCATTCCCCAAATTAACGACAAAAGGCTCCTTTCCTTAAAAGCCTTCTGTAGATTGTTTTTCATAAGTCAGATCACATTTTCCTTCAGGCTTCTATTATAAAAACTACAAAACATGTTTTTAATCATAATTTTTGATGTACACAAAGATTATAAGTGAAATACTGTACTGGTGCACGCAGTGGAAGACATGAAAGTTATAGTACAGTACTGTATGTACCGAGAAATTGCACTGCTGATTGTAATGGAGTGCAAAACTGTGAGTCACAGCCAAGACATATTGTTTTAATTTTGTAGTGACGCACCAACAGTAATTCAACTGCATTGTATGTACGTGTACAGGGAGTGTGTACATTTTTTAATATTTTATTTTCACTGTACAATACTGTACATGTACAGGGGGGGGGGAGATTTTGTTTTGTTACACTGATTTTTCTCATACAGTACAAATGTACTTTTATTTATGCTTACATTATTATGAAGATTTTTGTCAGCATAAAAAAATTGTAAAATCTTTAAAAAAAAATACATTAAGATTTCATATTTCGCGCGATTTCATTTCGCGTTTTTTAATTTCACGAGCACTACCTAATGTAACCAAGTCTTATATTTGGTGTAAAATATCGTGAGTTTTGCGAGATCCAGCCAACTGAATGCTGGCCACCGTCTTGAATGACGTCACAGCCCTCATGCCAGTTACAGTCATTTCTGCTACAACGCGTGTTTTGTCAACGCGAATTGGTTGTACAGTAATGCGATTGATGAATAGGGGAACATTGATTGTAAAACTCGAACTTTTACATACGAATGTTGGCTATAGCGCAATTCCATCCTCAATGTTTTGATTCCATCCTCAACGTTTTAAGCATGGCGCGGGGTTATGCAATGTTTACAGTTCACGTTCGACATCACATGTTCAAGTGATTCATGTCTTTAGGTTGTGAAGTGTTTTTTGAGAGACACTGTAAATTTTGTTCTTTTTTTTGCAAATTTAGCTGTTACCCATAAATACTGTATGAAAAGAATAAGTAAAAAGAATGTTTCGCAGTGAGGACTAATAACGGTTTACACCAGCGCTCCCTGTTTACATCACTTGATCAGTTGAATCACGCGGTTTCTGTCAATTACTCCGTGATTTTTGCTATTTTCTTCAATTTTGTTGTGTTAGCGATGAATACAGAAAGACAAGGTGAGAAGAATGTTTCCAAGAAGCGTTCTGGTGATCAAATTGCTGGTGGTGAACGTAAAAGAGGTTTACAAGAAGGCAACAATGGCGTTGTAGCCTGCGCCATCCTAGCGACCGCCCGGGCTGTTATTGTGTGCTTTTTTTTGGGTGGGGCTACCACCTGTCAAGTCAAGATAATGGCCTCTACCTCTACTGGGGGTCGTGCTGGTGGGGGAGGGACAGACCCACCTAAGCAGCCAAATAAGGAAAAGGAGAAGCAGGACTATCATAAGGGAGTTAAATTAGCCAAGTACTCGATGCAGGATAAGCAGCGTGTGATTAAGTTACTTGAGGAAGGCCTAAAATCTAGTTTCCGGAAAGCACAATCAGGTCAATAAAGGCAGAATTTGTATCATTTGGAGGTTATAAATGGGAAAATCAGAGGTTGAAGTAGAGTGGCCAGTCTATCTTGTTATTTTTTCCATTAGTTTACGTATCTGCATTTGGTGCAATTTATCCAGTCCATATTACTCGTGAAATACAAGATTTTACTGTACAGTCGGCCCTTCACATACGCGGGTTTAGCATTCACGGATTTGCAAATACGCGGATTGCCCCGCCGGAGGAATATTCTGAACATTGAAGTACATTCAAATCGCGCGCCATTCAACTCGCGCACGGCACCGAACACGGGACACCGCCCGCTCCCGCAACCTCACACACACACACACACGCATAGCTCTCCCTCACTCAGTCAGTCTCGCTGTAACCACGCTTGTGTTGACATCAGCATTGTAGTTGCAAAAATATTACATTTCCGTGAATGTATTATATCAAGCACAGTATGAATAGAATATCACTAATATAACAGTATTTTAACCGAAAACTACTAAAAAAACGAGTAACATATCTTGAACATCGGAAGGTTAGGTAAAGTCTCTTGTTTTCGTCATGTATTTTATCCTATTTTACATTGAAATACATCACGTTTCAGCAAGACTACTATTTCTTTCTGAGAATATATTCATTCAGGCACAGTTTAGGTAAAATATACATGTGCTGTAACATTTTTTTATTGAAAAAGATTCAAAAAACACGTACCCTCTAGCCCTGTTCAAGGAGAAGACTGGGAGGAGCTGTTTGGTGCTTAAGACGATGACAAGGAAAATGATTTTGATGGATTTTAATGAAAATATTCTAAAAGACCCTGGCACTGTCAAGGAAAGTGGCTGCTGAAGGCTTCCGGGACATGGCAGAGGACGAGATTAGGGAGCTAATTGAAGAGCACGACACTGAGCTGACCGAGGAGGATCTACAGGAGTTAGTAGACTCAGGCAAGGAAGAGGAAGCGAAAGGGAAAGAGGATGAGGAAGAGGAAGAGCACCAAGAAATAACGTTGGAGAAGTTGGGGGAGATGACCAGGAATATTGAGGCACTGAAAAACCTGGCCTATAGTATGGACCCCTCCATGGTGCGTGCCCTGAAATTCATGCGAGGGATGGATGACGTTTTCGCTCCATACAAAAACATCATGGAAGAAATGAATGAAAGAGACGACAACTCCCCATCACCATGTTCTTTGATCACCGAAGGAGAGATTTAACACCAATCACTGGCGGCAGTGAGGAAGCAGCTGAATCCACCGTTGCCCCCACTTCACCACCCGTTATGGAATTGAGTGACGATGAGCCCGATGACCCCCGTCCTGTCGCCAAGGATAGGAACTGTACAGTAAAGTGAAGTTTTTATCTCTTTTTTTTTAATAGCTTTTCTTGCCATGTTTATTGTTTGTAAAAATGTACAGCACAGTACAGTTCAGTACTGTACATAGGAAGTGGAGGTGCAGTTATTCACAAAACATTTGTGTTTGTTGTCGGCAGTAGTGACGGTGGAGGTGGAGGAGGCGGAGGAGGGAGCGAGTTGGGAGGAGTGGTGACCTTGGACGCGGGAGCAGGGACGAGATGCCAGCCAGTACATTACGGGTGTATTAATTGTTTTTATAGCTATTTTTGCATTTTAATATTAAATACTGTACATTACGTTTCAACAAAACTACCATTTATTTCTGAGAACATGGAAATGTAATATTTTTGCTGAAATGATGTACGTATTACAGTGGAAAGTGACGAAAGCAATGACTCGCTTTCTTTCGTTCAAAAGATGTTACCGTAATCGCTTTTCGAATGGTTTTCAGTTGTGGGATTATAAGGCTAATGATAGGATAGAATATTATTGTAATACAGTACGAGTACAGTACAACAGTTTTTTAACTGAAAACCATTTGAAAAGCGATTACGGTAAAATCTTTTGAACAACGAAAGAAAGCGAAAGTCATTGTTTTCATAATTTTATCCCACTTTCCACTGTACAGTAATATGTACGTCATTTCAGCCAAAATATTACATTTCCATATTTATTTCTGAGAATATATTCATTCAGTCACAGTTAAGGTAAAATATACTTGTGATGTAATATTTTAATGAAAATACGGTATCGTAGTTTTCTTTTGTATCAAATTTAATTAACAAAGATTGATGTTTCAAATGTAATGAACAAAAATTTATGTACAGTATCTATAAATAAACTTTAACAAATGAATACTTTGTTTTACATCGTCCTGTGTATACCATACCATGGATTTGGCTACTTTGGGCTAGCTATGATGACGCAAGAGACTGCCCTGGCGACTGTACCGACACTCACAGCTGGTGGTGCGTTGGTGCGTCGTTTCCATTGTTTACTGGTAGTTACTGGTAAATATTTTTCAACCTAACGAAACTATTACCCTTTTAGAGGTCGACCCCCAATTTTTTGCAAAATAATTTGGTCTTAAAAACTCGAACTACACACAGGTATATACGGTAAATAAGGACATGGGGGGCCAGGGGTTTTTTAGGGGGGGGGGAGCAAAAGTACACGGATTTTTAACATTCACGGGGGCCAGGTTTTTTTTAGGGGGGGGAGCAAAAGTACACGGATTTTTAACATTCACGGGTATCTCTGTTACCTAACCCCCGCGTATGTTAAGGCCGACTGTATATATAAATTTAGTAATAAAAAAAATGGTGGAACTGTACAGTGGTAGTGTCCTTGCTTTACAAGTTTTCTCTGGTATTTCAGTTTGCTCCTGTACTAAACATTGGACAGTGAAAGTCTTAACAAAGAACATACTGCCTGCCCGAATCGCTAGTGAGCTAATGAGTGGTGGAAATGATATACAGCTCCTCCCCAACTTACGACGGGGTTAGGGACCCAAATCCAGGTCGTAAGTCGAAATGGTCGTAAGTCAAAAACGCTTAAATAATACATAGAAAATCTAAAATGGGTGTCTTTTTCTTCTCAGCACCACAAAACTCTCACTTTTAAGCTTGCCAGCCATTTTAAAGTGAATTACAAACGAAAATTTTGTCTGTGTACTGACGTTGGGACTCGAAAATACGTAATTTGACAAAATTTTGGTACGACTGAGGCAAGTCGTAAGTCGAGTAGGTCGTAAGTTGGGGAGGAGCTGTATTGAGAAATGAAAATTATTAAGAATGTATTTTATCAATAAAGATATGAATACTTTTGAATAACGTTGGCTCAGTGAGAGGGGTGGTTGACCACAGCTGGAGGTCAAGGAATGTTAAGTGATGACTGTTGGCAAAGCAGTAGAAAACCATATACAGTACAGTTCCTTTATAGCATATATTATACAGTAATAATATTGGTTGCCCCTTGTGTAACGAGGCTGGCCGGCCGAGGGGTTTCCTAGGCGTGAATTTGTTTAA